GTTACAGACTTTATATAGGGAGGATATAATCTACAGAATCTTCTAATTATGTTTGGTTAGGAAATTACAGGATATCAAAGACATTATGAATATCTTAAAATTGACAAAATAAGAAAATCTTGAAATATTAAGGAAATATTGCTGAAATCTCAATAGTCATAAATTCATGATATATCAACACGTTGAACAAACGTTGTTAACTTACTGGGTCAAGTCAGTTTCTCTCCCAGTGACTAGCCAAAAGAAATCAAATATATAAATTCTAGCCTTTAAGTTTGATTATGATCCTCATTTAATTAAGTTTAGTGATCACTTTTTAAGCATAAAACGAGTAATATTTGGAAACTATGGATGAGTGGTTGTTAATTAGACATTGCATTAATTTATTTAAATGATAATCTCAAAATTAATGCGCTCCATGTGTTTCTTTAATCAGTGGCATGATACATGATAAAAATTGGTCAAATTTTCTACTATAATAAGAAATGTTCATTGAGCTGAAATGCTACCTTTTTCTATTTATATTTGTTTTAAAAAAAAAAGTTGAATCAATTTACAAAAAGATGCATAGATCAAAGTTAAATTAGCCCGGCTAGGAAGGGCTAAATACCAGCCACAAGGCTTGAAAAAGGGAGAAGCTTTTGCTTTAAAAGTGACACCCACTTTCTGCAATTTAATTACATTAATTACATATTTACTTTTTCATGCACAACTCAAATTTTATTTTCCTTCCTGCTTTTGAGGGAAACTTAGATTCCATTTTTACTCACGTTTTATTAAACTATTAATTATCATCTGGTGTTTCCTATCAAGCAGCTGGGATATCATTCAGATAATCATAAAAGTACATGATTATCAACACAGATCTCGCAAAACCAACATGATAAAAAAAAGATTTGCTCCATATACCAAGAGAATAATTTCAAGATTAAAATTCTTATGCTATGATTTAATGTATTGCTTGACTAGTCCTATAGCGAAAGCTTTTTTTTTTTAAAGAATAATATTGATACATAAAATATAAATTAAGTACTTTCTATTATTGCTGAGAATCGATCCGAAACCTTAATTATTTCATCCAAATTTATGTCATTAGTACCCCATACATAAAATTATGGCTGGTATTGGGCAAGCATATTGTATTATGATATGCAAGTGCTTTTAATTTATATAACTTGAATTAAAAAAAAAAAAAAGCTGAAAAAGAACTCTAGATGCAATATTGCTTATTAGTTATATGTAATAAGAAACATTAATTAATTCATTGAAACTCTGTGTATGCATATATAATAGGATTTTATTAGATGGGTTTATGGATAATATGATCTGTCTATGCCAGCTATGGGTGAAAGTTTAAATCAAAAGGAAATTAAAGAAGAAATTAAAAGGTATAATTATGAAAGGTAATAGATACTTGCCAACTCATTAGCAAAGAAATTAAGTAAGAGGGTACGTAATTAAAATGAAGAGAAGAAAAGATGGAAAACCAAAAGGAAATTAAAGATGGAAAAGCAGTCTAAGATGGAGGCTTCTTCCTTTTAGGGGTAGAGATAAACAAGAAAAAAGATGAAAGAGATGAGTAAAAACTAAAAAGTAGAAGAGAATAAAATACTACTAAGCTGGATTTAGTTAGAAAGAGAGAGAAATAGTGAGTAGTGCAACTCATCAAAACCCCACCTTGTCTTCCTAATAATGCATCAACTCCCAAAACCCTCTAATCTTTTTAAAAGCCACAAGCGACAAATTCCCTACTTATGCTTAAGAGGTTTTAATTTAAAGTTGTGAAGATAACAATCTTTTTGTGATTCTAAAGTAGAAACATCTTTAAGGTTTAAAGAGGAGATGCTTATACTACTAGTGTGTTAATCTTTTTGTTTTTGTTATTGATTTTACATAGCTTTTGCTTTTATTTATTTATTTTGGTTATACTTTAAACACTTATACCATAACTTTTTAATGCTTTCTAAAGATGAGAATGTTGGGTTTCGAAAATCAAAGAAGGGAAAACTTATTCTTTCAAAAAATCCATCGTAAAAAAGCATGAAAAGTAGTGCTCTCTTTTTGATATTTCTTAGGGAAGATTTTACTTTTCCCTTCTAAAGCACAAAAAAAGTTGCTTCTCCTTTGCACAACCCTTACGTTATGGATCATACCTTAATCTTATTTTGTTCATTCCTAACATTCCTTTACATACATTATGTATACCCTATTGATACTCTCATTATATGCGTCTATTTTTTTTACTTCCAAATATATATTAATTGCTTGTAATTGGTCTTATACGAAAAGAATAAGTCTTTAATAATCTATTCTCAAATTCAAATTGAATACATTTCAAAGACTTTTTCAATTTGTTTCTTAGATTAATTTCTCTTTTCTCCGTTCTTAATACATTGAATAAATAATATAAACGGAACCCACATGATCTTAATTACTCTAGCTACTATTCAGAGGCTTGCAAAATCTTGTTTTACTTTCTTGGATTGAGCAACAACTTCACTTTTTGTATCTTTTAGGCCATGACATGTAAGTTTGCCTACCTTATTGGAAATCAATTGAGCCACTAAATTTTGTTAGTAACTGGAGTACTACTCCTAGCTCAAGCTCCTATATAAGTAAATCTATTATATCTATGCACATATGCACACCTTTTCTTTTATCATCCCTCTTGAAAGTAAAAAGAAAAAAAAAAAAAAAATTAAGAATAGAGGAACAATCAATCTGTGAAAGATTTGGCGCTCAATTCTGGTTATTGAATATAAAAATTAGGTCGTTCATTAGCCACAATGATAAATGATTGAGTGACATAACATGATGCATACTCATTGTTTCTCGTTTAATATTTGGGTTAAATTGTACCAAACATGGACGATGCAAGCCAATTAATTAATCTTCGAGCCAATTAATTGTACCAAACGTGGAAAATGATAGATGATTAATGACATATATTTACAATTAAAGAATTAAGATATGATTAATGGAGAATAATTAGGCCTATTATCTCAAATGTTGACTGATCGATATTGGGGAACATTTATTTATTTATTTTAAAAAAAAAAAAAACTCCGATCTAACATGGGATGTTGGAGGCAAATTCATCTACAATATTCTTGCAAAAATGTGGCTTAATTAAAAAAAAAAAAACTCTTCTCCTTTGTTGAATATACAATATGGCCGTATGCCCTTATTAAATTCGTTAATTTCTAGGATGGCTTTGCTAATAACAATTACGAATATTAATAATGCAGATAAAGGAAGTCGAAAATGCTAACTTAATGATGTACACAAATTGTTAAGTTCTATAATCAATCTCTATGACGCACCCTTGACTTCAAAACAGGAGCTGAGAAATTCAGAAAGTCAGCCTTATTCCATATATCTTTTGAAAATTTTCATTATTGACAAAATTTTGAATTATTTTTCCATGGAATAAATCGGTAATTTTGGCCAAGTTACAAATTACAAACACATGAATGACAGCCAACTGGGATTCCAACAGCTGGAAAATGGGATGTATGCATAAATGGAATGTGTTCAAAGCAGCAATTGCTTTATTTGTCTGCAACACAGAGACCATGTAGAATATATATAAAGTTGAAATAGCAGCACTTATTTTTATGGTACTAAAACTTCAGATCTAAATCCAGAGCATGAAGATGCTTGATGGGATATATGCTTTTCCACCATGTGAATGAATATATGGTAACTTTTTTGTAATTACAATTTAATCGAAAATCTAAAACTCTAGTGCGATATTGAATGTTAAAAATTAATTAGCTTATTTTTCTGTTATTATGATTATATATATATATATATATATATACACACACATTCCAGATAGGCTGGTCTCATCCAAGGAGAAAACTAGCTTTTTCTCAAGAACTCTGAACTCATTTGCTTTTATTCGAAGGAATTAGAAATGATTCCTATGCAGTTCGGCTCAAAAGATATCCTACTTGGAAGCATCTCATTTGTTCCACCATTATCACAGTTTGCTCTTACTATATATTAATTATAAATTTCATATTGAAGTCATGATTGATTCATTCAAAGAAACACAACAAAGCAAGATCAGACCCCACTCAGAAAAGCCGACGAAGATTTAATAGCAAAAGGTGTTCTATGATTGCTAAATATTACATACATTATGATGGGCGAGATAGGCAGTAGTATATATGACTGGAAAAATTCATTCATTACAAGAAAATAATTAGGTCTTTGAATATTCTTACTTGACGGATCAAGATTAATTTCTTGTTCTAAAATTATACCTTAGCAAATATAATAATTTAATGTATACGTAATTAATGATTATGCAAATAAAAATAGACATATGATCCATGATTTTTACCTAAATTTTTCCTAAAAGCATATTAATCTGTCTAATAAAAATCGTAATTTAATATAGAGTTAATCTACTATATATTATACTAGATAAACCTAAAAGTAACCTTTAAGATTTATTTGAATTAATAATTATTTTTCTTATTAGATAAAACTGAATTACAATGGAAGTTGTTTTTAGTGGACTTGCATAAAGAAAAACTTCAATTATAGTGTGGAAAACTCCTTGAACAATGAGCTTAAAAACATCATAATCTTCAACTCTACTAATTAAGTTATCCTTATCTCCCCCACTCATGTATCTGAACATTAATTTGGTCACTGTCCAATTAAAAAGGACCCAATAATGATCAATTCTATAAATCTACTGTATGTTGAAGATTTAGTTTTGAATATGTTTGTCAGAGGTAAATAGATTAATTAATTGAGATGAACAGTTAAGGGAAAGTGGTTGGGTTATTTTACTAGTTTGGTGCATGCACCAAGCTAAACTGTTAGACTTGAGAGTGCATGCATGAACTCAAAGGAACTTAGACAAATTTTATACAATAAACAAACGGATTAAGAAGATAATTAAGCATCTAATTTTGGTCTTAAATTAACAGAAGTAAAAGGCTATTTCATCTATCAAAAGAACCAGAGAACAGATTTAAAAAAAAAAAAAAAAGAAAATAAATTAAAAACATTGATGGAAAGCGATCGACCTAGATGAAACTATACACGTGGTGGTTTACATAGAGAGGAAATTTCTTCCTTAAACTGAAGACCTGAATGGAAATGCCTGAGAATCTAAAGAACTAAAGTGAATAAATTAAAACAACTATTAATTATAACTCAAGAAGTTTGAAAATAATCCGTTTATCCACAGATTCAAGAAGTCCAATGTCATCAATTGACTGATCCTCGGTGCTATCATCATCAATGCAAATATTCAAATCCAACGACACAGAAGGGCTTGTCTCCTCCATTGTAGTACCTTTCTCCTCATCAGAGCCGTCTGATTTTTGCTTCACAGGAGGAGAGCACGCTCTTGATCTTGAACTGAAGCTTTCGCAGCTCAAAATGATAACGGCATCACTAAGGCCAACTTCATCGCCATTTGAATTCGTTATTCTTCCTCTTTCAATCGCCCTTTTGAAGCCTTTTTGTGAACAATAATCGGCCTGCTCAACATCCTCAATGAAGAAGACTCGATGCGGATTATTTGACACTGCTTCAGCGAATCTCTCGATGTAACTGCAACTTTGCTCACCTCTTGACCTTTTGTTTCTACTATCTTCAGTGGAGTCGGCTCTTGTAGAAGAGAAACTGCTTAATGCAATCGAAACGAAGTTCGAATGGGAGCCGAAAACAAGCCTAGCTAATTCTTTAGCAATCTTCTCCTTTGCTTCCATATCAACACCTTGGAAGAACAACCAAGTTTCTTCTTTGATCTCACTTTGATCTCTAACATTGCCTTTTCTTTTTAACATACCGGACCTGCATTTCAAGACTGTGGTCACAATTTCCGGAATTATATTTTTTTGCCGTGGTGCCTTCTTCTCCAATGCATTGCATAGAGATGTTACGTTTTCAGCGTTTAACTCCTTGAAATTGTGGACATATTCCATCTCCATGACATCGCTTGAACACGCCGAGTTTGGAGTGGAATTAGGGTTGGATGAAAGGGGCTGTTTGGTATCCTGATTATGCTCAGGAATGTACATTCTCAAAGTGGGTTCAGGTGTACTTTTGTTAAGAGTTTCAGAAAACCAGAGATGGTGTTCCGTCCATGACTCTTTGGGTTCAACAACAGTAGTACTCCAATCATGGCGGGTCCTGTGAAAATTAGGGTACTGGTTGTGGTCATATGAGAAACCAGAAGTAGAGGAAGAAGGTGAAATGGAAGAGAAAGTGAGGGTTGTTCTTTCAGAAATGTAATGTTGTTTGTGGATTGAATTGCAAATTGAGTTCCACTTTTTGCAAAGGTCTCTCACTGCAGAAGAGTCCTGGTAAAAAAAGAGAAAAACAAAATATAAAGGAAAAAAGTTTAGTTCAACTTTTATATATATTTTGTTTGGACTGTATATAATGATGAAAGGAAGATCTATGTATATATATATAACTGAGATAAATATGATTATAATTACCTTATCATTATTATTATTATTGCTGAGTGTCTTGTTCTCATCCTTGTATTGTTGAAGCCATGCAGGAAGGCTTGAAGTTGTAGACTCACTGTTACCATTGCTTCTTTCTAAGCTTCGAGCTTCAATCTCAAATTTTGCTGAACAATCCGCACAGCAAGTGAGGTTCTTCTCTTGATCTCCACCTTCAGCTCTCTTACTTGAGGACTGACTTTGTACATCACTGTATAAGAAACAAAAAACTTGAAATTAACTAAAATGATTTATGGGAAATTAATTTTTCTCTCCTTTCAAGGAAAGGATGTGTTAATTAATGTATATATGCATAGACATTGTCAATTTATAAAAGCAAAAAGAAGAGGGGAAAAGTAAGTAATATTGTTCCTTTGGGTAATTCAGTTTAAAAGAAAAGGAAAAATATTTCAGAAAGAGAATACTCTATATTTAGAGTGTAAAATATATAAAAAAAGGTACAATTATATAGAAAAGTTTAGAAAAATGGTTTGGTTTTGGTACCTGTCAGTGATGAGACTCAAGCGTAAACTTCCTGCAGGAATTGTTAAAGGATGAAGACCCCAGACAGTTTCAAGAGATGGATGGCCGGATATACATCTCATGTAAGTTTGGAAAGTGGCAATCCCCATAAGCCAAAACCTTCCATTCTGTCCAATTCCACAAACCAATTTCCCAATTTCCATAATTATGTGCTCTACAGAACAATAATACCCTCTTCCTTGTTCACTTGAACTAGCCCTATAATCAGCCCATTCAAGATCTCCCAAATTCAAAACAACTCCTTTTCCAATATAACTCCTCACTAGATTCTTAATTTCTTCAACTTTTTGTTCAACTTCTACTCTATTTTGATGCCTAAAAGAAGAAAGAGAAAGTGGTATAAACTTCACATCTCTCAAAATCTCAGGAACATCTCCTTTATCAACTTTCTCCATCACTCCTCTAACAACACCCTCAACACTAGCAAGACACTCTCCCACAATCACAAAATTTCTCCTCCTTTTGTTCATCAAATTTTCTATAACATACATCACATCCTCATTCCTAATTGGATCTATCACTTTTGGTTTAGTAATAACTTTTGTTCCAATTTGACCTACAGGAGGAGCCGACTGATGAGAGAGGACTAAAACATTACTTTCCTTAGACTTGTTATTACTACTTACAGGACTATTCTGAGAACATATTTCTAAAGACACAGCTTGTTCAACATTGCTTTTCACTTGAGTACTAGAGAAACCGGCTTCTCTCATGACTCTACTCACACTTGGATCGTCTAAAATAGAGATAATAAGTTGTTCTAACTCTATCTTTACGGCTAAAAGTGGTTGCTGCTGGTTCTCAATCGAGCCGCGCCTTTGATGAGCCTGCGCCCGCTTAAAGGCGGCGACCAAAGCGTTAGAGATGGTAGGGTATTGAGAGTGAGCTCCCAACATGGGGGTAGACGTCGAGGCGGGGAGGCGATTAAGTGCGACGTTGAAGCAGAGCTCTAGGGCTTTGCACTGAAGTGGATGAGAGTGAGATTGAAGGCAAGCTGTTCGGAGAAGTCCTGTGGGAGCAGAGAGCATGGTGTTTGCTACATGAAGTGGGGTTACTTGGGCGTGGCCTCGGCGTCTGGCGAGCGTTACCGCTTGTTTTACAACACTCGCAGCCTCAGCTGTTAGGGCTTGTTGCACCATGCAGCCTCCTGCTCTCATGTTTCACAAACTTATTGTATCCTAAAACTTTCGAAAAAGAAACTTAATATATATGGTGATGGGATGGATCAAGAAAGATGACCTTGAAGAGATTTTTTCAGGATCATATGAGCTAAATATGAAGTAGTAGTGATGAAGTAGTATGAATCTGAGAACAGGTATGTGTTATCTAAGAGTAAGATTATGATGATTTGGTCATGGAGGGGGAGAGAGAGAAAGAAGGGAGTGGAAATTTATGGGAGGTGGGCTAATACTTTTCTTGTAGGTTGGGTAAAATTTGGGGTCCAAAGTCGATTTTGTAGTGGAAAGTGGAATGCATGTGCTGACAAGCAGGACGAATGCACCAGTATCAAAGGCAACTCAGCTTTGCCTATCTCAAATTTGATAAAAGATATGGGATTCCTTAGTGGGTCTCTCTCTTTTATGCAAACTATAAAATAAAAACTAATTAGTTACTAAACTACAAAATCAAATCTCTTAATCACCAAGTACATGATAAATCTTAACATAATAATCACTTTTAACTGAATCTTAATTTAACCAAGAAATTCACTCTCATCAATTAACGGAACCAATTTATTGTAAATATATTGTCGATTTATCACTTACCCACTTTAAATACTTAACTCTCAAAAACTAATGAAACACTTTGATCCACAATTTATCACTTATCAACTTCAAATACTTGATTCTTAAAAATTAATGAAACAGATCAACAAACTTTCAAAGATATGTGGATTTAACATTTATCCCACTTCAAATAGTGGGATTTAGAGTGTGTTATCTTTAATTGAAACCCATAATTTTATCACTCAAAGTGAATCAAAAGTACCCAACAGAGATGTTACAACTAATATATTACCAACAAGAAATTAATAAACCCAATTAATTAAACTAGGCTAGTTTGTGTTCTAAAAGATTGGTAGTTGTTAAGTGAGGGAGAGAGAGAGAGAGGGGAGAGCTTTTTTTCCTACCATCCGCCAAAATCGAGGACCTGAAAAGAGAATGGGGACTAAGTGTCGAAAGGAATCGGGAACTGTGTACGATTTTCTTCCGGACTCAAAGACAAGGAATAAAGTGTTAACTCTCTTTCCATTTTTTTTTTAGTTCTTTTGATATAATACACAACTTGACGCTGTTTGAATGCATATATTTTTTGCATGGGGATTAAAAACTCAACAAAAACATTCCTTCATCCATCTCTCTCTTTCATTATTTCATAAAAGGTGTAGCTTTTGGACCATCTCCTTGATTCAAAAATGAACAAACAAATCGCCAAGTGAGCAGCATTTGATGATAACGAACTTCCTGCAGTGTGGGTAATGGTTTCTCCTTACGTGTCCTTTCAAGCACAAAATTAGGTTTCTCATAACCTAACTATATAATTTGAAGCAATAACAGTAGTTTTGCATGGCTGCTCTGATCCTGCTTCCCATGATGGGAGGAATCCTTTTCAGTACTTTATCAGATAACTGACTAGGGCTTATAAACAAGAAATTTCGGAAGAAAATGTTTTATTAAAGTATTTTGGGATATTAATAATACTATATTTACAAGGAAATCTTACAAAAATTTGTATACAAAGTTAGGTTTCAAAAAATTAATGTAAGAGTTAAACAAAAAGTCAAATTCATTAAATTCACTCTTCTATTCATTTTTTGCCACATCGTTTTGTATAGAGATTTTTGTAAATTTTTTTTGTAAGTGTAGCATTACTCTTGGGATATAGTATAATATCTATGCTTGGTAATGTTCTATGCTTAAAATTAATTCCTTGTAATTAAGTAAAAATATTTCACCCACTGAAAATCACAAATTCAGTGTGTGTGAGGTAGTAATTTTAATGGATTTTTTCTTCCTATTAGGATTTTTTTTCTTTTCCTTTTTGGTTTAAATAACTAATTACTTTTATTCGAAGAATGCTATTCACACATGACCATGGCTTAATTTGTTTAATTTAAAGGGATTTTATAATTTGAGCGATTGCGAATGAGTTGATCCTATAAAAATTGTAGGAGCAAATAGAGTCAAATCATATTTCACTCTATTTTCAAATCAAGAATTTGTAAATGAATCATTTATGGGATTTGAAATCTAAGATTTTCCCAATTTCATGATTTATATATTTTCTTGTTATTTTTAAAGGTATCTAGAAACTTCAATCATTGTAAATATCTTTACATCTAGATTTATTTAATTAAAAAAAATGGTACGAGGTAAATCAGTTTTTTTTTTTTTGTTTAAAAAAAAAAAAAAAAAAAACTGAAAAGACAATGCAGAACAAAACCTCGAATCAAACATACGCTCCATTGATTACAAATTTCTGGCTTTCTTGAAACAAAAAAACAAAAATAATTTGACCCTCAACACTAATCGTGATCAAAGTGACTAAATGTGTTGTGGTGTTCGAGTCTTATGATTATAATTTTTATTTTATTTTTATATTTCTATCAATTATTTGTCCGACAGAGATGACCTTGTGTTGACTCTGAATGTCGAAATGAAATCAATAACAAGATCACTAAAAGTTCAGAAAGAAATTCCACATTCTTCAACTTTTTAAACCACTTTAATTTCCAAATTCGAGAAGGCATTTATTTTGATGGACATAAACACCCCTACTAGATCATAATGTAATTATATAATCTCATAAATAGTTTTTTCTGCCAATAATATGATTAATAGCTGAATAAAATCATATAATTTGTTCAAATATCTTTTTATCTATAAATATTTAACGATTACATTGATACTTGTGACTGAATTTTATTGAAAGAAACACATAATTGAATTATGTATAATTTATGCAAATATTCTTTTTATCTAGAAATATTTCTTGGTATGTATAATATTATTGTTAGTAATTTTGACCAATTTTAGATCATACAACTACAAGGTTCGAAATGATTTAGTTTCAACGCAATCCACGAGATTCATGCCAAACTTTGTACAAAACAATTGGTTTAACAAAAATTGTTTAATAATCTGATGATAATAATAAACTTTGTAGACAAGTGGGATCTATCTTTGCATTAAAAACATAATCAATTAACGATGGGGTATGTATTATGAAAAGTGATTATCAGGACAATGCGAATTTAAACCCACAACCAAGAATATAATTTTCAATTATAATTAAGATTAAGATACCCTTAATTATGTTGCAAAATCAAAATCAATTGGTCAATTAGTCATTCAGGTCAATTGGCCCATTGAAGGCTATATGTTGGAATGGTCTTATTCCTCAGCGTGACTGTTTTTTTTACATAGAAAAGAGAGCGAAAGCACTACTCCATCTCCCATATCAAGGTCTTTCAAATTAATATTTAAACATATTCTCCTTCAACAATAAACGAGAGATCGATCTGCCTTTCACTCCTAAACCATCTTCCCCTTTTGATCATATAATTAATTTACTGATAATTTATTTTCAGTTTCATCAAATTATTCTCCATGAACTGTTTGTTTAAAGTGAATTAACGAAAGAGAGAATATTCTATCTAACGAAATAAAAAGAATCAGAAAACAAAGTCTATAATAATGGGAATTAAGGAGGTAAAGAATAAATATATTATTTTATTTTTGATGGCCAGTGAAGGTAGAGACAAAAGCTGAAAGAAATTAATGTAACCTACGAAGAACAAGAACAAGCAGAGGAATGTTCGCTTTAAAGGGAGCCCGTGAAGAATTTTGCAATTCACATGGGATGAGATGACTAAAGTTTCTGTTACCTTATCTCTGTAGTGCTGTGCTTTTGCAAACCATTTTAATGGTCTTTTTTGGAAGCAATCTTATTTGCCTAGTTCTAGTTCTGGTTCTAGGTTAGAGTTTTTGCAACAAAGTCTTAAAAAACCACCTTAAAAGAGAAATTCATTAATATAAGCTTCCTTCTCCCATTTATTTACATTGCGTTCATCCAACAAGATTATAATTTATATGAATGAAAAATTGTAAGTCCGAAAGTCCTAATTTTTTTTTTAAAAAACTCTCGACGTTCATTTTGGATGACAAAAATATATTAAAAGACAAAGTTTTAACCAATTGTTTTATAGGAAGAAGGAGAATTATCATTCAAATAACACTTACGTTAAAAGAAAGATAAATGACACAAATTGTGTTTCTATCAATTAACAGACATCTTTGATCAATTAACGAACACTTTCTGAAAACTATCATGGAAATGAAGACAATACATTGAAGCAAAGTGTTCATTTCTTGATATAAATTCATGCAACTTGTGTCCTTTTTCTTTGTTTATTTATTTATTTTTTCCCTTAAAGTGTTCTCTAAATGATAATACCCATATCAAAAATGTAAAAAAAATAAAAAATAAAATATCAAGGATGGATATATGGAAAATTGATAACACACTATAAAAAAAAATAATTAAATAAACAAAAAACATTCACAAGAGAAAACAAGTATAGATACATGAAAATTGTCACATATAAGGGGGCGTTTGAATCATATAATGTTTTATTATAAAGGGATATTATATTAACGGAAAGAAAGATCATCTTGAAGATTACCGAGAATGTTTAGAAAATGTGTTTTGTTGGTTCGAATAAATTGGTGAATAATATGTTTGGTTGGGAGGATAAATAGGTGGCTATGTTATATAGATTACTAAATTGCCCTCATTTTTAAATATTACAATGATAATATTTTTTATTATTATTTTTTGAATCATTTTTTTAGCCCCCTACATTTGAAATTTTGCTAAAACACTTTAGCCATTGCCGGCCGTCGACGGAATGGCACAATACTAGCCGTATATGGCTAGCCGTGCACTGGCAAAGGCAAAAATGGCCATGGATCACAAATCCATGGCTGGAAAATGATCAGATTTATGGCCATGAAACGGCCATAGAAACGCCAGATTTGGCGTTTCTGGCCATGGATCTGTGATCCATGGTTGGAAAAGGCTTTAACGGCACACGACCGGTTAGATCTCACCGATCGTGCACCATTATGACAACTGACGCTGACGGCGGTGGTGTTGAGTTATGGTAGGCGATGGTCTTAGGTGGCTAAGGGTATTTTGTTAATTTTTAATTTTTTTTGTGGCTTTAACTAGTTTCTCAAATGTAGAGGGGCTAGATAATTATTATTTGGCAGACATTTGACGGTAATTGTGTTCGAAATGGTTTTTAATTAAGGGCAAAATGGGTAGAAAAATCATTTTATCTTGATAATGTTTTAATCCCAGGGTTGGGGGAGGGTATCGAATTACCCCTCATATTACCAACAGTAAACACTATTTACAATAAAAGATTCTTGTAATAATTTATTACTTGCAACCAAACACTAGAATCTTATAAAATAAATGAAGATTACCCCCGTTATCTTATATATCCCCAATCCAAACGCCCTCTAAATGTCCTAAAAGTTAATAAAATACAGCTACCTAAGACTAGACACTATCTTTGTATATAAGAGAAAGCATACATTCAACCTATTTAATAATTTTTTTTAATAATATAAACTCGTATGATTAGCAGGAGATAAGCAGAAGATAAAAAAAATGAAGTGGAACACGTATAAAAATAGTAGGACCCAGAGAAAGTGGGAGCAAATTCTCAGTCAAAAAACCTTCAACTGTTTATTCTTCTGAAGACTGAGAGCAAATTCTCAGTCAAAAAGCTTGTATCTTTCTTTGTTGGCCTCAAAAGACATACAAATAATTTGAACAAACAAAGCAATCCCATTCCCTGTAATTGCTACAAAAGGAGTGTTTGAACAACCAAAGAGCCAAAAAAAAAAAGAAAAAAAGAAGATATACACTTACCTTACTTACAACACACCCTAACCCTCTCTCTCTCTCTCACTATAGCTAACAACGGTTTAACAACTTTCTTTAATTTAATTGAAGAATTAATTAAATATAAGTGAATAAAAAGTTATTAACTGTTAATTAATTAAAAAAAAAAATGTGAGATTGTGTGTCAAAGTGAAAGTTATTAGGATGATCATCTTTTCTCTTCTTTCACCATCAAATCCATAATTTTTTTTTTCATGGGAACACATTGCATTAATCAGGGCCCTTCTCTTAAATTTATATAAACTAATTAAAATTAGCTTCTTTTGGTTAAAGTAAAGCACTCTCTCAAAAAAGAATATAAAATAAAAAAGTGAAAAATGGCATTATCTACTCAAAAGGGCCGCTCATTTTATGCTTTTAAGCTTCAAATAAGCATCTTCATTCTACGTGGCCATGTGGGTGAAAGCAATAACTTAAGAAGACGAACAAAATTCGTTGTTTGTGAGAAAAAGAGAACAGTATTTATTATTTATTTTTGGCTGGCCGGCCAGACTTTAAAGGTTTATTATATAAGAGAAAAATTAAAAAAAGTCGCTCTAATTTTGACATGACAGCTTTGTTAATGTAAAGGTGATGGAATTACGTACCACACACTCCTTTTCTTAAAAAGTTTGCATTATTTTATTTATAATTCAGTATTTAATTATATATTAATTGGTGGTGAATTAATTAGATTATGCATGTTTCAACAGCTAGCTGGCTAATAAAAGGTGACTTAATTTATTTGTTGGGTTAGTTTTCTCTTAGATGATGATCTTTTCATATTTATATTGTTTGTAAAGAGTTTGTTTGGTATGATTCTTTTAACTCTGTGGTCAATCCACTTGATTAGAGAAGCTCAAAGCATTGAAATGTCTCGTCAGATAACTAATTTTGGATGTATACGAAAAGCTACCTGAGAAAACTTAGAGATGAAGATTTTCAAGTATTGAACGAAAAATTACTTTTATAAATAACCAAATAATTAAATAAACTTGTTTGGATCATCAAAGGTTTAGAGGATTTGGATTTCCTCAGTATTCAGAAAATGTAACACTCTTATCTTCCTTCAATTTCTCAAGTATAGTAGTCCACTTTCTATACATGATTTTGCATATTCACATTGATATAACTACTTCTACCACAAGTGATCCCTTAAGCTATACTCTTAAAAAATAAACACATTATCAATTCAACTGTACTCGAGATTAATTTTAAATCTCCCATTTATCAATTCAATAATGTGAATTCAAAAAGTTTCAGAAAACTAGAGACTGCTATATGAAAGTTACAATAATGTCGAAAGATTTTGATGTAAATGAAGATAATCTGTGTCATCTTGGCAAATTAAGCACACAGGAATAAATGAAATCATATAAAGGAGATAGGAAGAATACGATCGCTTGTGTGTGTGCAATAATAAAACAGGAGGAACCGATTACCGAAACGTCCTTATACGGAGCATACACTTAAAGCATACAAATGGCAGTTTCTATATTTGAATGTGAATATTATTTCTTTAGGGAAGAAAACAACTTTTTTCGTTTACAGAGTTACACCATTGATCCAGATGGTGAATTACAGAAACTTATTATTTTTACAAACTCTTCCTATATATTTTATTGTACAAAATTGTTTGGTGACAAAATGAAAAACCGAAACAACATAATAATGAAATAACTGAGGTATTTTAGTCAGTAAACTAACCTACAATCCTTGCCCGGAGAGTCCAAGAGCTTCATCCAACTTGAGTGTCAAGCGCGTTTTCAAGATGATCATTTCGTAGGAATGAAGCAAGTATGCTCTCAACAAGGGATCTCTGTTTATGAGTTTCTTCGAGTATCAATAAGCGAGCAGCTTCACAAGCCTTCTCACTAGTAAAACCAAGTGTCCATCTCCCGTCTACTCCAATATTGGACTTCTTCGCGTTGAAGCCTCTAGTTTTACTTGCGTTAGATCTTGGGTCAAATTCTTTTATCCGAAGATGCAACCATGTCGGATGGTCCTCATCTATCTTTGGCTGTTTCAAATTTGAACAAATAAAATGAAATGTTACAAAAGCAATTATATCTTTCAAGTCAAAGAGCTCCAAGAATATCACATGAAATATTTGGCTGCTCATTTTGTAATTTTTTTTGTTCAGTAATGTTACAATTTGAAATAAAACAAAAAAATACTGGACATTTATGGGTTTCAAGCATAACAGTCCAACTTTATGAACAAAAGTGAATTATCATATGATGAGAAAATAGGAAATTATAAGCAGTAAAGATGGCAGAGAAAGGTATAAATTTGATAATCAAAACATCAGCAGAGCTAATGTATGAATAACCACTAATGACCCAAATGTATTCAAGTTGGGAATATTACATCATAACGGTCTGAACATGTCTACATAATAATTGAAAGATTTTGAACTCAATACTGCAGCATTGCTCTTGGGAATGTCAGGAAAAAAAAAAAGTGCTGCAGAGGAAACTTTGCAAAATTGATATGGAATTTAAGGATCTCGTAAACTTTTCAGCTTAATTTCCAATTTAACACGAAATGAGAAATTATTTATGAAAAACAATGATGGAATGTACATCAATAAGTAGACCGTGTTATAATTTCTTAAACATTTAATGTAAACTTGAACGATAAAGGGTCCAACTTGATTGTCAAATTTCAATCTCATCTCATTCAATTTAATTCACTACTATACAGTGCCTTATCTCCTTCTTGTCAATAATCTACATAACTTCTGCTAAAACAAAAATCACCAAATCTGTATTCACAATTCTGACCTATAAATATATATAGTATTACCTCCAACTTTAAACCAGATCACAACTCACCATTGTAACCATTAATCTTCATCCTTATTGTATTTTTCTCTATCTTGATGAAGTTATACAATGCTCTCCCTTGCCTAGATGAACATCAGCTAATACCAACAAAACTAGGAATATCGTGCGTATTGATATGACCAAAAATCCTACAAATATACAAAAAATACAAACACATTTAACCCAGATTGACTACCATGGGCATCATTAATGAAAAAGCAACTTCATTTAGTGATTAGATTACACTAATATTATGCATCTCTAAAAAGTTGACCTCATTAATATCATAAACACAATTTGACTGTCAGCTTTACCAATGTCGAAACTTACACTCAAACCCGCCAGTGGAGCTATAGCAATTACAACACCTCGTTGACTTCGGAAAGGATGTTTCTCTGCAAGAATCAGTTTGCCAGATATTCCTCTAGCCACAGGTATCAGGTAGATATCCCTGACCCCAGCATTAGAAAAAGCAATTCTGCATGGGAATCCAGATCCTACAAACAGAATAAAAGATCGACAAAGTCTTAATGAATATTGCATGACCATGGAGAACATTATGAATAGTCAAAATGAAAGATGTAGTAAAATGATACCCAACCTAGAAAAACCTCCGACCCAAAGCTTGCAGATGATAGATCTGAAGATTGGGATATTTCAGAATCTGTGGCAGGACCACTTGTCAATTCTAGAAAGGGGTTCTCAAGTAAATTTCCTTTGACAATAAACGTCTTCAGTTGAACATGGAGAGTGAAAACCTAAAAGAAAGTGCACCATAAGATCCACAGAGCACCAAAGTGTAATGCAGTATGAATGGTTTTTTTAGCATAAATATCAACTGCAAAGGGATGCTTCCAATATGTAATTTTGCATTCATGGGAAAGTAAAATTGATACTCATAAAGGCAGAGGCAGATGCTTGTAATGGTGAATAATTAATCAATCAAACAACAAAAGTTTGATAAAATGTAAAGAAAGTGTTGGCTGAATTGCACAACAGAGCCTTTATCCATTAATCTCTTATAGCTGTGAAAATAGATTATCATGACTTATGAGAGGAAAAGGCTTCATATGACGTGGTGAAAAGTAGCTGTTGTAGAACATCATTTTCACTTGATCATTGTTTCTCAGTTCCTCTCTCCGCAGCATGTAAGAAGCATTAGAGCTCATATATTTTTGTTGGGCTCTTCCTAACAAACTTAAGCTTTTGAGTTTATCATTTACTTTTACAACAGTATCAGAGTCAAGCTAACCAAGTGATCTTTTATTATAAAAATTATATCTTTGATTTGCTACTGGATTTGTGTTTATAAGTGTTTTCAACACACATGTATCACAAGGGAGAATCTTAGAGCCTAAATAGCATAGTTGAACCCTTAACAACTTAAGCATTTGGGTTAAAAAAGTTACTAACAAAAAGTATACATGAAGATCCATCAGCAATAAGGCCTTGCCTCTGGCATCTATCCAGTTCAATGCTGGAAACACCTTTAGCATTTCTTGCAACATTAATGTCATTGTTAAACAGAAGAAAACCATTATCTCTCTAAGAAGGCATCCAGTTAGAGATAGTAGATCATTTATATTAAAAAAAAAAAAAAAAAAATTCAGTAATAATGAATGATAAAAACCTTCACTGCATCAACCATCGTTTGCCAAGAAAATTTGGAAGAAGTTGTGCTGCCTGCAATGTGTAATAGTTATGAAGGAAAAAGTGTAAGACATTAATTTCTGTAGCATAGGAAGAAAAGAAGGATTAATCCAATTATGAATTTAAGAACCATTAATCAACACTAATGGCCAATACCATCAGTTGTTTGTTGGCAAAAAGCAAGCTCAAGCGCGAACAAGGGATTTTTGGATTGCAAAGGTTCCTCGAGAGCTGTACAAATCATTCAAATAGATTTGATGAATTCCATAAAGTGTCTGACTTAGCATATCTAGTAAATAATCATTTCCCTCCCATCAATTTATCATTTTATTCTCTGCACTTAAGAACACCACTATGGAGTCCTAATTTTTTCTTCCCATCCAAAGAAAAGATTCTCTACCTCATACCTGTTTTACAGTTTGCCCATTCATCCCTCAAAGTTTCCAGGATTTGATCAAACCAGCCTCCATCAAGTTCTTTCTGAAGACGTTCACATGACCGCTGATACGAAGTCTGTCAACAGGAACTAGAAAATATATAACTTAAGATTGATAGGTAAGAGCGGTTTAATCTCAAGGAAAATTTATTGCAAGACAAGTGGAAGTGTTCATGTGCTTTAAGCGCCAGAATAAATCCTAGAACTCAACAAAATAGCAGAATCTGTTCTGTAATGATTTCTACAGTTTGCAACATGAATGGAAAATATCATATTAACACAAAAAAAGAGGTATGAACAGTACACCTGAATTTGACTAATAAAAAACCCCAATGACTCGTGATACTTTGAATACAGAAAATCATAAACCATAAACAAAAATTAATTATACATTATAGACTGAAGAAATTTGTTTAATATATTTCGTTACGTTTCTTCTTAATAACTACAGAAGGGAAGTAGTAGAACATATGGACACTCCAAGAGCATGATTGACTGGAGCAAACCAGTGCTTCACACTTCAACTTCTGTTCATAATTTTATGAGATATTATATAAACTTTCTGTTTTTTGATAAATTTATTAATTCTAGCTATCTCCTCTTACAAGTCTGAAGCAACTTGGTGTAATGGCTGGCGGTTGCATGAGAAAACAAGAAAATCACGGAGGCACTCTATTGTTTCAGATAAGTGATCAAATGAAGAAAGGCCATTACCCAATACAGGTCTGGCCTAAAGGGTCCTGACTCCTGATAGGTTTGTTCTAGATAGAATCCTACCTTTAATATGTTGAACAAAGTGGCCACTCACCAGACAGAAATCAGACTCCAACACTTGTTGGTTTGAGGCTTTTAGCACTAAACACTATCTGGTATATGTATATCACTGACAAGATGCAAGTCAACAGTAGATGTTATTAATGTTCACAAGATGTTACGATGTTTACAGCGTCAAGTCAATAGCAAATGCATTTATATTAACTTCAGTATGTGCAATCAATCAGTTGAACCTCACATTGAAAAGCTGGAGATGGTGATCATTGAGTCTGTTTCCTTGAAAACTAAGTAGCTTCTGCAAGAACCACCCTGTATGCAATTGTATTAGTGCACAGGATGGTGCTTGGCTGGCTAAAACCTTCAATAATGCATTTAAAACCTGTTAAAAATAAATAAATGATGAGTGTTCATGACATTGTGGCCTGTAAAGAATCATGACATTAAAGCTCACAGCAGCAGTAAAGTTAGCGTCAGATAAACATATTCCGGTGACAGCTATACACATGACATATTAAGATGCGTTATTTCAAAATAAACAGCAATGATTGTCAGATAAAGGCCATACCTGAGGCATAAGTCTCATGAGGATATTGCTTTTTCCTACCAATGAAGCTGAAATATCATATTTCTGAGAAAGAATATATCAAAAGTATATCAGAAATTGCTCCATAAATTAGAAAGTATAGAAAACTATCACAAACTTACAAATGAAATTATAATGTACATAAAACATCACGTGTTTACAAGATTCGATAAAGTGAAATCTTAAGAATTCTGAAACTAATTTGTGCAATATAAGAAAAACAAAAGGCTGCAGGAACATAACCAAAAAGTATATATACTACACAGCAACTCAAGAACAAAAAGTGCAGGCACATAATTAAAGATAAAAGCTTTGAGTCGACATTCCCTTCATCTAAAAGATAAAACATAAACAGTGATCTAAACACCGCATAATTGAGCTTTGAAGTCTCACCAAAATATAGACTATAAACATCTTTGCAGACCAACATTTATTTTCAACTTAAAAATCATATCACATGGAAAAATGTTAAAAATGCCCAATATGGTATAACTAATCCTTCGCACGACAATTCCAAGAATCTTTACCGATATACTCATCCAAGAAATTAAATTAGCATTAGTAGAATCCATTTTTGGAAGCATATAGAAGATAAAATAATTCTATGACTACTATATCACTTCTAATTAATTAGTGCAAATGTAGAATGGTTGTTTGTGCACTTAAATAACAGGTTACTGCAATAATTTGCTGAGTAAAATCATGAAACCATAACAAGGTCATAGATGCACAATCCTGATATTGTCTACTTAGGGCCTAAAGTACATTGTTTTGCTATAAAAATCACCCAAAAGGCTTCATACTATTTGAAAAGAGAATGGGCCACACCCTCTCGTGTTAAATCTACCCAGCTTATTTCTTCCTCTAGCACACACTACAAGGTAGCTTTAATAGCAAGTGAAACCACTCACTCCCATAAAGTATAATATTGTCGCTTTTGGTGTAACCCAAACAATTTGCTTTTAGAATCACCCAAAAGGCTTCATATTATTTGAGAATGGATTTTACATATAAAGGCAATGTGGAATCAATACCCCACTCTCACCTCATCCATCTTCACCTCTTTACCTATATGTTTCAAGAGTCCTGGATCTTGGTTGTTACAGTTTGTTTAGGATAATAATTATCATGAATGAAAGAATTCTTTGCTTCCATCTCAATTTGTTAAGAAACCTTTATTAAATCAATATGCTTAGCAAACATCAAACAATCAATTGAGATGCTTGTGAAATTTGATTATTTACCGTTGTATCTTGCATTTCGCTTAATCCAATTGCCGAAGCCATTCTGGGCATCATTAATGAAAAAGCAACTTCATTTAGTGATTAGATTACACTAATATTATGCATCTCTAAAAAGTTGACCTCATTAATATCATAAACACAATTTGACTGTCAGCTTTACCAATGTCGAAACTTACACTCAAACCCGCCAGTGGAGCTATAGCAATTACAACACCTCGTTGACTTCGGAAAGGATGTTTCTCTGCAAGAATCAGTTTGCCAGATATTCCTCTAGCCACAGGTATCAGGTAGATATCCCTGACCCCAGCATTAGAAAAAGCAATTCTGCATGGGAATCCAGATCCTACAAACAGAATAAAAGATCGACAAAGTCTTAATGAATATTGCATGACCATGGAGAACATTATGAATAGTCAAAATGAAAGATGTAGTAAAATGATACCCAACCTAGAAAAACCTCCGACCCAAAGCTTGCAGATGATAGATCTGAAGATTGGGATATTTCAGAATCTGTGGCAGGACCACTTGTCAATTCTAGAAAGGGGTTCTCAAGTAAATTTCCTTTGACAATAAACGTCTTCAGTTGAACATGGAGAGTGAAAACCTAAAAGAAAGTGCACCATAAGATCCACAGAGCACCAAAGTGTAATGCAGTATGAATGGTTTTTTTAGCATAAATATCAACTGCAAAGGGATGCTTCCAATATGTAATTTTGCATTCATGGGAAAGTAAAATTGATACTCATAAAGGCAGAGGCAGATGCTTGTAATGGTGAATAATTAATCAATCAAACAACAAAAGTTTGATAAAATGTAAAGAAAGTGTTGGCTGAATTGCACAACAGAGCCTTTATCCATTAATCTCTTATAGCTGTGAAAATAGATTATCATGACTTATGAGAGGAAAAGGCTTCATATGACGTGGTGAAAAGTAGCTGTTGTAGAACATCATTTTCACTTGATCATTGTTTCTCAGTTCCTCTCTCCGCAGCATGTAAGAAGCATTAGAGCTCATATATTTTTGTTGGGCTCTTCCTAACAAACTTAAGCTTTTGAGTTTATCATTTACTTTTACAACAGTATCAGAGTCAAGCTAACCAAGTGATCTTTTATTATAAAAATTATATCTTTGATTTGCTACTGGATTTGTGTTTATAAGTGTTTTCAACACACATGTATCACAAGGGAGAATCTTAGAGCCTAAATAGCATAGTTGAACCCTTAACAACTTAAGCATTTGGGTTAAAAAAGTTACTAACAAAAAGTATACATGAAGATCCATCAGCAATAAGGCCTTGCCTCTGGCATCTATCCAGTTCAATGCTGGAAACACCTTTAGCATTTCTTGCAACATTAATGTCATTGTTAAACAGAAGAAAACCATTATCTCTCTAAGAAGGCATCCAGTTAGAGATAGTAGATCATTTATATTAAAAAAAAAAAAAAAAAAATTCAGTAATAATGAATGATAAAAACCTTCACTGCATCAACCATCGTTTGCCAAGAAAATTTGGAAGAAGTTGTGCTGCCTGCAATGTGTAATAGTTATGAAGGAAAAAGTGTAAGACATTAATTTCTGTAGCATAGGAAGAAAAGAAGGATTAATCCAATTATGAATTTAAGAACCATTAATCAACACTAATGGCCAATACCATCAGTTGTTTGTTGGCAAAAAGCAAGCTCAAGCGCGAACAAGGGATTTTTGGATTGCAAAGGTTCCTCGAGAGCTGTACAAATCATTCAAATAGATTTGATGAATTCCATAAAGTGTCTGACTTAGCATATCTAGTAAATAATCATTTCCCTCCCATCAATTTATCATTTTATTCTCTGCACTTAAGAACACCACTATGGAGTCCTAATTTTTTCTTCCCATCCAAAGAAAAGATTCTCTACCTCATACCTGTTTTACAGTTTGCCCATTCATCCCTCAAAGTTTCCAGGATTTGATCAAACCAGCCTCCATCAAGTTCTTTCTGAAGACGTTCACATGACCGCTGATACGAAGTCTGTCAACAGGAACTAGAAAATATATAACTTAAGATTGATAGGTAAGAGCGGTTTAATCTCAAGGAAAATTTATTGCAAGACAAGTGGAAGTGTTCATGTGCTTTAAGCGCCAGAATAAATCCTAGAACTCAACAAAATAGCAGAATCTGTTCTGTAATGATTTCTACAGTTTGCAACATGAATGGAAAATATCATATTAACACAAAAAAAGAGGTATGAACAGTACACCTGAATTTGACTAATAAAAAACCCCAATGACTCGTGATACTTTGAATACAGAAAATCATAAACCATAAACAAAAATTAATTATACATTATAGACTGAAGAAATTTGTTTAATATATTTCGTTACGTTTCTTCTTAATAACTACAGAAGGGAAGTAGTAGAACATATGGACACTCCAAGAGCATGATTGACTGGAGCAAACCAGTGCTTCACACTTCAACTTCTGTTCATAATTTTATGAGATATTATATAAACTTTCTGTTTTTTGATAAATTTATTAATTCTAGCTATCTCCTCTTACAAGTCTGAAGCAACTTGGTGTAATGGCTGGCGGTTGCATGAGAAAACAAGAAAATCACGGAGGCACTCTATTGTTTCAGATAAGTGATCAAATGAAGAAAGGCCATTACCCAATACAGGTCTGGCCTAAAGGGTCCTGACTCCTGATAGGTTTGTTCTAGATAGAATCCTACCTTTAATATGTTGAACAAAGTGGCCACTCACCAGACAGAAATCAGACTCCAACACTTGTTGGTTTGAGGCTTTTAGCACTAAACACTATCTGGTATATGTATATCACTGACAAGATGCAAGTCAACAGTAGATGTTATTAATGTTCACAAGATGTTACGATGTTTACAGCGTCAAGTCAATAGCAAATGCATTTATATTAACTTCAGTATGTGCAATCAATCAGTTGAACCTCACATTGAAAAGCTGGAGATGGTGATCATTGAGTCTGTTTCCTTGAAAACTAAGTAGCTTCTGCAAGAACCACCCTGTATGCAATTGTATTAGTGCACAGGATGGTGCTTGGCTGGCTAAAACCTTCAATAATGCATTTAAAACCTGTTAAAAATAAATAAATGATGAGTGTTCATGACATTGTGGCCTGTAAAGAATCATGACATTAAAGCTCACAGCAGCAGTAAAGTTAGCGTCAGATAAACATATTCCGGTGACAGCTATACACATGACATATTAAGATGCGTTATTTCAAAATAAACAGCAATGATTGTCAGATAAAGGCCATACCTGAGGCATAAGTCTCATGAGGATATTGCTTTTTCCTACCAATGAAGCTGAAATATCATATTTCTGAGAAAGAATATATCAAAAGTATATCAGAAATTGCTCCATAAATTAGAAAGTATAGAAAACTATCACAAACTTACAAATGAAATTATAATGTACATAAAACATCACGTGTTTACAAGATTCGATAAAGTGAAATCTTAAGAATTCTGAAACTAATTTGTGCAATATAAGAAAAACAAAAGGCTGCAGGAACATAACCAAAAAGTATATATACTACACAGCAACTCAAGAACAAAAAGTGCAGGCACATAATTAAAGATAAAAGCTTTGAGTCGACATTCCCTTCATCTAAAAGATAAAACATAAACAGTGATCTAAACACCGCATAATTGAGCTTTGAAGTCTCACCAAAATATAGACTATAAACATCTTTGCAGACCAACATTTATTTTCAACTTAAAAATCATATCACATGGAAAAATGTTAAAAATGCCCAATATGGTATAACTAATCCTTCGCACGACAATTCCAAGAATCTTTACCGATATACTCATCCAAGAAATTAAATTAGCATTAGTAGAATCCATTTTTGGAAGCATATAGAAGATAAAATAATTCTATGACTACTATATCACTTCTAATTAATTAGTGCAAATGTAGAATGGTTGTTTGTGCACTTAAATAACAGGTTACTGCAATAATTTGCTGAGTAAAATCATGAAACCATAACAAGGTCATAGATGCACAATCCTGATATTGTCTACTTAGGGCCTAAAGTACATTGTTTTGCTATAAAAATCACCCAAAAGGCTTCATACTATTTGAAAAGAGAATGGGCCACACCCTCTCGTGTTAAATCTACCCAGCTTATTTCTTCCTCTAGCACACACTACAAGGTAGCTTTAATAGCAAGTGAAACCACTCACTCCCATAAAGTATAATATTGTCGCTTTTGGTGTAACCCAAACAATTTGCTTTTAGAATCACCCAAAAGGCTTCATATTATTTGAGAATGGATTTTACATATAAAGGCAATGTGGAATCAATACCCCACTCTCACCTCATCCATCTTCACCTCTTTACCTATATGTTTCAAGAGTCCTGGATCTTGGTTGTTACAGTTTGTTTAGGATAATAATTATCATGAATGAAAGAATTCTTTGCTTCCATCTCAATTTGTTAAGAAACCTTTATTAAATCAATATGCTTAGCAAACATCAAACAATCAATTGAGATGCTTGTGAAATTTGATTATTTACCGTTGTATCTTGCATTTCGCTTAATCCAATTGCCGAAGCCATCAAACTATCAAGATCTACTCCGAGGGAGAGAGAGAGAGAGAGAGAGAGAGAGAGAGAGAGAAAGGACCAGAAACAGTAAGAAAAGCATATATATATATATATAAATACAAATATCACATTATATAGATTTGGGATGCTATTTCTCATAAGATACCTTTATTTTCTGCTAAAATAAGTAATAAAAATAGGGATGCGAACAATAGAATGTGATTTTCTGAGTTAATGTATGCCAGAATTCCTTTCCTGCACCAGGTAAGAACATGACAATAAGTACAGTAGAAATAAATTCACAGAATTCCAATAAAAACAGTAAAAGAAAACAATTATCAGACTTTAACATATTTTAGCTGGAAATCAGACACATTCTAATTTGCTATTTGCCTCAGATATCACATCCAGTCCAATAAATGCTTAATTAACTGTTTACTTTTCCTCTTTGGTTAGGTAACAACTAAATTCT